AGTGAAAAAATTAAAATTTCACGGTTGGAAATCGAGTTTTTTGTCGAACATCCAGACTTGCCAACCCTAGAAATTGATTTGAATTGCTAAAATTGCTAAACTAAAAAGTAGAAAAAATAAATATAAAAAACATTTTTAAAAACCACGTTTTTCTGGTTTTTACAGAACTAAAAATGATGAAATAAAACAAATAACAAAACTTTAAAAAAACACGTTTTGTTAACGGGCAAAAAAGAAAAACATTTACTCTTACATAACATTACATAACATTTTACATAACTTTAATGTTATGTAAGAATAAATGTTTTTCTTTTTTGCCCGTTAACAAAACGTGGTTTTTAAAAGTTTTTTTTTGTTTTATTATCGCTTTACTCTCATGTAAATTAAAGTTGACCGAGCAATATAGCTAGATAAATGCAGGACAATTTTGTGAAAATGAATTTTCTTCACCAATATAAATTCACGTCTCGTTGCTGCAACGAAATATTTCGCAGCAAAAATCGATTCGCTTTAGCCCAATACCTATAATTAGTCTACTAAATGGCGTATTTTTTGGTACGATTAGCCAATAAAAATTAGGTTTATTGTAAAGCAAAATTGAAGACCAACACCCAATTCCTTGAATTTAAAGTTTGAGGGAGTAACGAATGCTTACACACAGCTCCCTTGCTCTGTCGTCTTACTCACTCTGATTTTTTAACACGAAAGTAATTTAGAGTATTTCTTAAAATACACCATTCTATTTTAAGAAATAATGATAAATAGGTTATCTCTGCGTATGTTAATTTTATTATTTTAACTAATAAGCCTCACACGGTCTCCACAGCCTTTATTAATCTCCTATCAACTCAAACTCCACCATTAAGCGTGAAGTTCACCCAACACTATACATGCAGTGCGTATCAACTTTGCTGCAACGGTCAGCACCACTTGGTCAGCACTGTCAGCGGTTTAGATATGTATTAGCAGTGCAATAATTGTGTCAGTTCATGTCTTCTTATATTTCATGTCATCAATACTCATGCAGTTTAGTGAGCCTGCATGCAGAAGTAAATGATTACCTCGTTAGCGGCACTGATAAGAAACGTACGATATTGATAAGAAACGCACAACCTCATTCACAGAAACGTCATTTTCGTATCGCTGTTTCGAGGTGTAAGCAGATAACAGTTGTATTTTGAATGCAGAATTATCGTAGATTCATTTCACGTAACATCTTATGAGTGTATGTTTTTCTCCATTAGAAATAAGAAATATTTTCATTTATCAAGCCTCTTCTCTCATTTGAGATTGCCAGCGTGCATCTCCAGGTTATTGACCTGATAATAATAACAAGGAGCTGTCGTATTGCCGCTACTTGACTCGTCGTGATACGATGAGGTCACTGACCCTGACTGTACTCAGAGTCAGTGACCCCAACTTAATTGTACGCAAATAAATCTTTGGGCGCCTCATAAGCTACGTCATATTGATAATGTTCGTTAACTGGCGACGGAGCTTCACATGCATTAATGGAATTAATGACAAATGATAAAACACTGCTTGCGGAAATTGTTGTCTTAAATAACTCTCGGCTTTAAAATATATGATTGCAATGATGACTTAGCAACCCTTTTGAACTGAAGCTATATTTAGGCATGAATTATCATTAGGATTAATTTTCTAGAGTATTATACGAGAGAATATCAGCATGAAAGAGATGTACATGTAAATCATTTTACTCGTACGCTATAGAATCACACGTCGTGGAGTATAATGCTAGTAGCAGAATTTTTAAATTTATTCTTTTCCTGTTCCATTGGTCGACACTAGAAATGAGATCTTCAATTAACTGTAGAATAAATGTTAGTTACCGGTCTATGTGGATGTGGCTTGACGTTGTGGCTTAATCATTCGTTAATGATGTTTTACTCGCCAAGTGAGACATTATCGTGATGGGACGCATGCATTACACGTTTATATTATATTTTAATATTTTTATATTAAATTTATTTTTTATATTACATTTAAAATAATAATATATTTTAACCCTTCAGCTACCAAAGTTAAATTCAGTTATCAGTTCTTTTATGCGAATATAAAAACAGTTAGTGTATCCGTAGACATGTATAAGATGGTTAATGAATACGCAGACAACGATAAGCATTATTCCTAGTGTGACTTAGCCGCCGATATATAGCATCTCATCCAGCCGATGATACTGCCAATGCCATCCATATCATCAGACGTCTTCCTGCATTCTTTTTATAAGCTTAAAAACTAGTGACAACAGGTTGAAGGTTTATTGGTAATTGATTTTTGACTAGTAATAGTAACGCTTACTTTCAGTGTAACGCGATCCCCATTTTTAATTAAATATTAATTAAATCACAAATTAAAAAATATAAAATATCTTCCATATTAATGCCTCGCAATCTTTTTTCTCTCTTCCAACCTTGAGCAAGTGAAAAAAATTTCAAGCCTCAAAACTCCTTATATTTTGAACAAACATATTGACGGAGTATGCATTAAATGAGCTTCTTACTTTTTTCAACGCTTACTTTCAGTGTAACGCGATCCCCATTTTTTTGTGAATACTTATAATCCATATTATTAATTTCATAAACACTTGCTGGATCAATTTTGCACGTGCTTGCACAAATAAGCAGAAGTGTTTGCAGAATGATAGATAATCTACACACTTGTGAGGGAAGCAAATACGTAACTTAGAAAAAAATATTGCAAATTGAATGAACTATTTTTTGGGGAGGTAATTGATTATTATTATTAACAATATTATTAATTGAATTTTTGTAGTACAAAAAAGAGAATCATGGGCTTTTTCAGTATAAAATCAAGTTTTAATCAACTCAAAGATTTACACTCATGTTTCACACCACATCTGAAATGTCTCACTAAATGTGTACTATGATTAAGATTCTTATTAAAGTAAACTAAAGAAGTCTATTCAGATCTCTGTGATGTAAGAAGATATGGCCTGAGGTTTTTCCACTCTCAAAGGTCATTGAGTGCTCAGCTCTTAAGATATGCACAGAAAAGACCATGCATAATTTGTAATCTACAAGAATTCTTCCAATAATTAAGACTAGTGTCAATGGCGTCAATTTGAAATGCCTAGCTCCTTATCGAACCCGGTGGAAGTCTAGTAGCTTCTTCAAACTATCGCCAGTCATGAAAAGATCCGGTCAAATGACACGAGTTTAGATCTATGAACAAGGCACGAAATGGAAAAGAATCGGCGACAGGCCACATCAGGCCTACACTTTAGAGCCGACATCACTATGTTATGTTATGTTATGTAATGGTGTCATGTCCGAGTCAAATTACTCACAAACTTGCTCATACTTCTATTTGGGTACCGAACTTCATATCATTTTTATTCATAATTGGCGTTCGAATAATAGTTTCAGTCCCTTTAGCCTGAGGATTATTTATGAAAAAATATTTTTTTTCTTTGTAACGGGATTAGGTATGTTACTAGTAAAGATGTATATTACTTTGTGAGCTGAAGTCACGTATTTTGTTCGATTACGTTGAGTTCTTTCCGAAGTATTAAGTCTCATCGAAATTTTCCTGCAGAGTTATCGGTTTTTAAATTACTTTTATTGTGTAAGTACCAAATTTTACCGGACGGAAAATGGTTTCCCAGCGAGCCATAATTTTTCAATTATGGCTCGCAATCGATGCAAGTTGGATCAACTGAATTAATCTAAATATTTATCAGCCATTATGTTTTTCACGAAAATACATCTTGCTTCTATGTTATTTCATATGGCAACATCGGTGTACGTTAACGTCTTCATGATTGGTTTGTGTCGTCATGTTGATCTTGTCAACTTTTAACGGTGTATAGCTGACGAGAGTATCTAATACCTTTTTGATTTGCATGGTAAATCTGTTACTTTGAATTAAACTTCAGGACATGAACTCAGAACCGCTAAATTTCTTGAATTTGTAGTTATGTGAAATCCAAGTATAAAATATTCTGTAGCATTTGTTTAAGATATGGGAAATCACACAGAAAATCCCAGAGGCAGTCGTAATAGACTCTGGTTCAAACTCTTTATGTTGAACGAAGACGAAGATAATATACAAACTATTAAGTAATCATACTATGCCTAATATTGGCATCATGCAGATATATATATAGTTCTAATACTAAGGACTAATCATACTAAGCCTCGTGACAACTACTGACGTAACTTTGGTCGAATTTTCCTCTTTGGATTTGCCGCTGGGTTCCTGAAATTTGCCTTCCGAAGTTCAGACAAATTGCCCCTTAGTCGTACCACACTATTCAATGGTCACTGAGAGGAGCTTGGTTAGGGCTGCCAAGGATTGCTTAAAAGCTATCAGCGAAGATGGTGTGATTATGCGAGAAATAAATATTCATTGTGTGTATGTGTAATGAATTAAACGTTTCAATACCTACTCCCATCAATGACACGAGTCGTTATCCAGCAGCTACTGTACTTGACTCGCCGCTCGTCAATAAAAATCTTATAATATAGTACCAGAATTACGATTTGAAGAGTTCGATTGCAACGGAACTAAATATTTTTTAGGCGCGATAGATAGTTGTTCAATTTTGTTAACAAAGTAGACAGTTTCTTTTGAAGGCGGCTGCGTACGTGTTGTGCAGCTAGTGGCATTGACACTATTGAAAAATAAACTGTGCGGGTCTGTTCCTATCAATTGAATTCCGGTGATTCGGTTTCGGTCTTCCCGTGATTAGTTCAGAAAAGTCTAAATGTTCAGCAGTGAAACAAATGTGAATTTTTCGATTCGTTGTATCCATTTTTAAAAACTCTTATTGATGAAATGAACTCGACGATCATGGTGTAAGCATTTGGATCACTCGTAGTCGTACAGTTTGTGTTTTGGCTTCATTTTGTCTTCGGCAAGCAATTTTAGAGATAGAGTATTTAAGTTAGAGAAAACGTAGAAGAAGCTTCTTGAGGGTTTTTTTAGTGACTGATTTTTTGTTATAATATTCCTAACTGAAACTCTTGTTAATTCTGCGTGCAGAAAGTTTATATTCTAAGGTAAAACCTGATTTTTACATTTGGACGTCATTTTTTATTTAGTGATAAATATTTTAATACTAAAATTAGGAAGATGGAGAGCAACAGGCCATGGTGGGCTAGATGTGACGTTAGGTATACCGCTCTGATCGTGCCTCTCTCGTTTATCCTGATAGTTTTGGGTATCGTGGCGAACAAGCATGCTGGTAAGTTGTGGCAACACCAAAACTATCTGAGGCGGTTAGAGTAGATTCGCATGATACCTATCGATGTTAGACTTGAGCCTCTCAGTCTATAATTCTATTTATAAAATAGTTGACATTTACGTTAAGTTGAACATTTGCTTTTGAAAATGCTGTTCATGTGACTGTATAAGCTTGCAAGCAGCGTTTTGAAGTTCACTTGAAATGTAAGTAGCATGCATATATATTGAATAAGTTGGTATGACTTCGATTACTGACAATTTGATGACTTCCTACAGGTGACCCACATTACAAGTATCCTGTCGGATTGCTCGTCAGTATCATCATTACAACTGCATTCGTCATTGTGTTGTTAACTTTCTGCGTTATAAAGTGCTTGTATAGCCACTTCGTATGGTCGAATCACGACAGACACAATGCAACTGGTTCCTCCATTGAGTTACAGCCGATTAATTTGGCCCCTAGTGCCTCTTGCTCAAATGCGGTACGTCAACGCGGGTCGCAACAGGAATTAGCCGACGGGAATGCTTGTAATAATGTGGCACAGAGACCTCCGAGTTACGAAGATCTCGAAAGTATGGCACGATCAACTAATGACACATCGTTCCTGTCATGCCAAGCCGCTGCCTTGGAACGTGAGGCACAGGCGCAACCTCAGCAGCAGGTGGTTAATCGTACGGGAGGCAATACAGTAAGTCCATCAACGGCTGCGAATGAAACGGAAGTCGAAACTTTATCTGGAAATGTGTCGGGACTCTGTTCCGCCCGTGACGAGGCGAGTGGAGACGAACGCCTTGCACCCTCTTCCACCCGTGACGAGGCGAGTGGAGACGAACGCCTTGCACCCTCTTCGACCCGTGACGAGGCGATTGGAGACGAACGCCTTGCACCCTCTTCGACCCGTGACGGGGCGAGTGGAGACGAACGCCTTGCACCCTCTTCGAACCGTGACGGGGCGAGTGGAGACGAACGCCTTGCATCCTCTTCGAACCGTGACGGGGCGAGTGGAGACGAACGCCTTGCATCCTATTCCACCCAGCGTTCAGAGGAGACGAAATTTTATTAGCAGGCTAAAACAGCAATCAAATGAACTTAATTCTCACTGAATTTGCCCACTTAAGTAAATCCACGTTTTCGACGTCGCACTGCAGAAATAGAGCTGGTCCAAGGAACGCTTGGAACTTCTTTTATAATTGACGTTTTGTGAAGTTCTTCTATCAGTAATTTTTACAAGAGTATCAATAGCCCCCTTTTATTTTCAATGCCTGTTTTAGGCAGGTCAGTGTAAGTATCCTTTCAAATTTTTAGGCTTCTCTGTCGATTCTAGGCTGCTAGCATAGGTGACAAGTTGGATCGGTTAATTATTTGGCTGTCAAATTTGTCAAGGTAACGTGTATTTTTCTGAATATTTTTAATTCACCTTCAAATTAAAAAAAATACTAACCGTTTAAGTTCGTTTGCACATATTTCGCCCTCTTCTTTTTTGTTCAAACCATAATGAAAGTGAACTGTGTATATTTAAGAGAATTGCTGAGTGATTAATATGGAACTGTTTTATTTGAAGTTATGCGTGTATGTTATAGGCCAATTTTAAATATTATAAGTTTATATATGTAATGTTTTTAAATAATTAATTCGTTTTTCTCGCTGCGTACCTAATTATAAATAAATTAAAAGTTCTATACTGATGACGCTATTCATGCTTGATGCTGCAGTAAAGGAGTAATAACATGAACCTAATTACCGCCTTCTTTAATTTTCACTTTATTTGAAACATTTAGTTGAGATTTATAGGCTATGTGAGTCATGAATGGTTATCATAGCCTTATCATTATTGATCGCACCGGTAACGCGTATTTTTTTAATGGAGTTATTCACCATTAGGGTTCTAGCTAAGAGGTAAACGGGTAAGTTTTAATTAGCTGCCATGCTGAGTAATATCTTCACCCATATATCTTGCACGGCTCCAGTCAATTACTTGGACTCTGCTCTCTTGAATGCCGGCTTGCCTGTTTGGCGCTAATTTATTTTAACACCCAATCTTGTGTAATTAGTGAATACCCAGTCTTAGGAGAACAAGGGATTTCTATACCTTGTATAGGATTTCTATCAGGAATAGTTGGTAAGGAAGTTTCATAAACTGAGAAGTATTTCATCCCCTTCAAAATATTTAACGTCCAAACTTTCCTTGCAAATTGCAGTGAAGAAATAATTTCATCTAGACTTATAAAATGCGCGATTGGAAATGGGAGGCGACAGGATTGAAAGTGGGATCGAGGCGACATCATGGATTGAAGGTTGGAGCGTCAGGATTGAAAGTGGGCGCGTCAGGATTGAAGGTGGGCGCGTCAGGATTGAAGGTGGGAGCGGCAGGATTGAAAGTGGGAGCGTCAGGATTGATAGTGGGAGCGTCAGGATTGAAAGGGGGCGCGTCAGGTTTGAAGGTGGGCGCGTCAGGTTTGAAGGTGGGAGCGTCAGGATTGAAGGTGGGAGCGTCAGGATTGAAGGTGGGAGCGACAGGATTGAAAGTGGGCGCGTCAAGATTGAAAGTGGGCGCGTCAGGATTGAAAGTGGGCGCGTCAGGATTGAAGGTGGGAGCGACAGGATTGAAAGAGGGAGCGTCAGGATTGAAAGAGGGAGCGTCAGGATTGAAAGTGAGAACGTCTGGATGGGAAGTCTGTTGTGAGGAAAGATAAGGCGTGTGGTTTTTCCACTCACATATTTCAGTGAGCGCTTTGCTCTCTATATATGTATCGAAAAGACAATTCTTAATTTCCAAACTACAAAAATTCTTCCAGTAATTAAGTCTGATGCCATTGTCGTCATGCTTGAGTTAAATCGCTCGCAAATTTGCCCACACTTTCATTCGAGTGCCGAACTACGGATGATGCCGATATATTATTACTATTTGACGTTTGAAAAGTAGTTTCTTTTTAAGACTTGGAATTATTTATAATAGCGGTTTCAGCGTTTAGTAGGCCGTAGGCCTGCCGCCAATTCTTAACATCGCAGAACATTCACAGCATTTTGTGGTCTCGAACTCGCAACTCACTGCTACAATTCTGCGCCTCTCTGCTCCAATCTTGGTACTCTGAACTGTAACCACTGAGCACCATCCGAAATAAATAAGAAATAGTTTCTTGTCAACAATATTAGGCCCATTCCTTTTAAGTAGGAATATTGCTTCTTAAGTAGAAGCCACGTATTCAACTCGGTGTCGTTGAGTTTTTGTTAAAGTTTGGAATCTCATCGCAATCTTTCTACATTTATAAGTTTTCAAACTACTTTTATTCTGTATGTACTAAATTTCAAAGGGTTCAAATGTTTTTCCCAGCAAGCCATAACTTATTTATGTTGCATCTATTTTATTAATATAAAATTTGTTTGACACAATTTTTTTATACGCGATTATATCTTACTTTCATGATTCTTCTCTATGGCAACATCGGTGTCCACTTATGTGTCATACTTGTTTTGTGATCAAGGTAACTGTGGTTAAGTAGACTATTGAGTTAAAAATGTTCATTGTGAAAATGTCGGTACTGGTAGTCGTAGTCTTGGGTAAAGGGACGTCCATTTATGTCGAAGTGTGGAACGATGGAGCGTGACGAACGGAATTAATTGGTTTTGATTGCCATGGTAAATAAATGGCTCTGGATCAAACTGCAATACCTTTACTAAGAATTAGTAAATATCTTGAATGTGTGATTATCAGAAATCTAAAGATCCTAGGAATTATTTGCAATCCCGTGTATTTCTGAAGGTGTGAGCGTCAGGCATTTTAGTTAGTAGAATTTCAATTTTACGCACTACATAACGCAACTGGACATCGAAGTAAGTCTGCACTACCATGACTCGAGGGCTGTATATCTGGCACTGGTATGGGAACCAAAATAAGATTTTGATTGGTGGCAGGTTTATGTTAACTATGCACTTCCTTCGCCTCATGCCTGCTATGAATTCTACTTGGGTCGAATATCTTTGGTAAGGAATTGGCCGAGTTAACGGGGCTTGCGAAGTTTTTCTTCAGATTCTCACCAAGAGCCATGTCGTAATATTGTCGTTGGCCCACACTAATGAGTGACTACTGTTATGTTAGGACCGCCAAGGCTTGCTTGAGCCATTACTAAATGATGTGGTTATGCAAAAAATGAATTTGTGTAAAGCATAGTATAAAAAGTGTATATTAGTAGACATTTTTACTAGTACTTTAATTCCTGAAAATGGTAAAGGTAAAGTCTATTCAGAATCCAAGTTTGAAGTTTTTGTATTTGGTGTAGATACTGTTAGTTGCGAAGATGAACTCTGTCGTGGACACTCGTGGTCCTAGCATATGGATCACTTATATGGTTTTAGTGTAGAGTCTCCGATTTGTCTCCGGTAATAGTCTTCCAGTCAACCCTGCAGGTCAGTTGAGGATTATTAACTATTATGATACGATTTGAAAAAAAAGAAAATCTGGAGTAAATTGAAAGGAGCGTCTGGAACATTTGTCATTTTCCGAGTGACACAATCATTATCGAATTAGTTCTAACTGAAAGCTATACATATTCTTCGTGCAGAAAATTGATATTTTAAAGTAAACTTAGATTTTTATATTTGACTTCATTTCTTGTTCGGTGAAGAATATTTTAATAATAATATAAGGAAGATGGAGAACAGGCCTTGGTGGGCTCGTTGTGACGTTAGGTGGTCAGTTCTGTTTCTGCCTCTCTCGTTCGCCTTGATCGCCATGGGATTTGCATTGAACAATCTGGCTGGTAAGTTGTGGCAACGCCAGAAATGTTGGAGTGAAACATGAGCCATATTCAAGTGGATTCGTTAGGGATTTTAGCCTCTAGAAATCGATATTAGATATTAGCCTCTATAAATCATTATTAGACATTTGCCGTAAAATATAGTGCTATACTCCCGTGACGACGCGAGCGGAGACGAAGGCCTTGCACCATCTTCCGCCCGTGACGACGCGAGCGGAGACGAACGCCTTGCACCATCTTCCGCCCGTGACGACGCGAGCGGAGACGAACGCCTTGCACCTTCCACCTCTTATTTGGAGGAGACAAAATTTTAGTAGCAGGCTGTAAGGGGGATATCAACTGATCTGTCGCTTAATTCGCACACGTGACAGAGATCCGCGTTTCCGACGTCGTAACGACCGAATTGTGAAAAGATGAGCAATCGGACTAATCTGATCAACTGATCCTGGAATCGTGAAAAACTGGTGCAAAGAACTAAGGATGCCTCGTATTATTGATGACGGTTCGTGAAGTTCTTCTATCATTCATTTTTACAGGAGTGTTTTATTTTCAATGCCTCTTTTTATAAGCTAGTGTAAATATTTGTCTAAGTTGTTCAGCTCCACTGTTGATGCCAGTATAGGTAACAGCTGAGTGGCTAATGCTTCGGCTGTAAAATTAGTAAAAGCAACAATTTGTAATGTTCTGAAAAATTTTCAATTCTAAAATCAACCTTCCGATCAATCGTATATTAATATTCGTTTCAGTTTGTTTACACGTTTTCTGCCTTCTTGTCCTTGATTTAAAGTGTGATGTTAGTGAACTGTGCCTTTTTTAGTGAACTTTGAACTGTTTATTTGAAGTGAGAACGATGAAGATGTTTTATTTGGAGCGTATGTGATAGGCCAATTTTAAATATTAAGTTTATATTCCTAATGTTTATAATAATTAAATGGTTTTCTTGCGGAGTAATCAAATCAAAGTAACTTGTAAAATTTATATTGCTGACGTCTTTCGTGCTTAAATGCTACAGAACATGGGTAATTACAGAACCTAATTACCAAGTGCTTTCATTTTCATTTCGTTTAATGCAAAATTTATGGAGACATCAGGTGCCGTAAATGGTTATCAATGCCTAGAAATTATTGGTGCAGTGGCAAACGCGTTGTAGACGTTAACTTTTTTTTTACTGAAGTTGCTCTCCATTTAAGTTATGAGGTAAACTCGTGTTGCGAGTTGAACGGATAAGTTTTTCCTAGCACCGGTAGAATAGTATGGAATAGAAGTGTCGGCGTTGAAGAAATAGGCTCATGGCCTGTTGCCGATTCTTGAACTTTTCGTGACTTGATTTACAAGGGATCCGGCCTTTGGAGCCCGATCTTTCCATAACTGTGGACCTATGCTGAGTTTTATCTCAACCGTTATTTTAGAACTGGGTCGTCTGGAGTAACTGGAAGTGGGTCGTCTGGAGTAACTGGAAGTGGGGTCGTCTGGAGTAACTGGAAGTGGGCCCATGAAGGCTAGCCTGGCACATTAGTGATTTTTAACCCGTCCAAATTGCAAGAGTCCTGAACACTTGCAATTCGAGGGTTTGAACGTGTCCAAAATTGAATGCAGTTAAGGGAAAATAGTCAATTGTTTGACTACGCATATCCGTGGTCGCCTGCAGCGTATCGATCAGTGTTAAACATCACGTCTTCGATGTCAAATTTCTGTGCAGCTACGCTGTGCATCGAAAATATATTCAGTTGAGAATTCTCATCTGAATTTAATAGATACCGAATCAATCTACCGCAACGCAGATCTATTTGAAATGCCTGTTCTGAAGTAATAAGTCCCTACAATGAAGCCAGAAGACATTTACGTTATTTTAATTAGTCGCCGATTACAACTAATGCAGGCTCTGCTGTCAAGCTAAATCTTTAACAACTTCGATATGCTTTACATAGCGAATTGGAATTTACATAGCAAATGCTTACACTATGCTTTACATAGCTCCCAAAAATTCATTAGGAAAATCTAAAATTCCGAATAGGTAATCGATTTGATGAGGGTAAATCTTCATCGATTTTTTTTTGTTGTAGTTGTACATGAAAGATTATTCGAAATTGTTAAGAATAAAATTGATGCGCTGAAGCATCCGTGTTCCTCAATAGTGAACAACCGTACGCCGTTCTGAAGGGCAACTGCAGCTTACTGCGATTGTGAACAATAATTCAATAATTAACTGCAGCCGGCCGCTCTAAATTAATGTTGCAATCGGAGATGTTGCAGGCTTTTAGAGGTTTGTATGGGAAGCAACATGCTATTTAATGTGGTATACCTACCAAGACGGATTAAATAAGATTTATCTGATAAAATCTATAGTCTTGCCTCTACCTACTCATTTATCAACCAGAGTTGGATGAATGGCTGAGTTGACCATGAGCTGAGCTTCCCAAAAGAACTTGAACTCAGAAGGTTAGACGACCAACAAGCGAGGCAGAATAAAATCGCGCTGGTGCCGTTACTAATTCGACGAGATAATAAATTTCCAGAGAACCCCAACAATGCTTTAAATTGTCTAGCCAATTCATAGATAGAATAAATGCACTATACGCCCATCGCAAGGACTGCGAATGTCGTGAATTCTGATTGCATTTTAGCTTTCGGCCGATAGTTTAAGAAATATTAGTCAAAGTTCTACTAGCGATATCGCCGATACTTGGAATGATTTGGCCCCTAGAAATCAATAGATGAATGGTGACCAGGTCAGTCTTGTGAATTAGAATGGCAAAATAATCTTGACAATACCAATGGAGTTTAGATGAACTGGCAAGACTGATCGACCCAAGTAATTTGAAGATTGGCCTTCATTTGCGGCTCTCTTGTCATGAATTCCATTGAGCAGTGGTTCTCAAACTGTGGCACGCGTGCCACTAATGGTACGAGAAGGCTTTAAATTTCTATTGGTACACGGATATACTTCAAGCTACATGAAATATTTTTAGCTAGGCATCATAAATTTGACTGTGCCAAAATTAACTATTTTACTATAATCTGGTAATTGTTTGCAAATTCAGATGCACGTCTCGTACCCGGCCCCAACGGTACCATCAAAAAATGGTATATATTAGCGATTAACTTTAGTAGTGCCTAAACTACAACGCGGCGATGGTACGGAACCTAAGCGGTTCTCGATAACACAGAGCTATGGAGCCTCTCCATACAGTGGCACTAACTAATCGTTTTGCTCAATTTTTTGATTCCTTTGCCTGCGGATTTACATGCCGACGGATTTATTAACCGTCCTTCATTAAATTGGTATTTAAAGTCGTGGTACCGGCAGTGGACAAAGGTTCACAAAGCCTTTTGAACGTCGTTGTATTATTGTAGTTACTTTGATGTTTAACCCGCATTTTTAGTCCATCATTAGGTTGAAAGTTTGAAGTTAGACAAAGGCCCAATTGAAGAGAATTGCTGCAGGGTTAACAGCTATCGCTGTTTGCACGGCCGGCAAATAGCGTGCAGAAAGTTCCAGAAATTAGAACAGAACTCGGATGATTTTGTGACCGTTTAGTAGGTCACGTCAAACCTACTAAAGGATTTATCACAATGTAGATGGGTTCATCGATCCGCCCAGTTTATTGCACGTGAAGAGTTTAATTTTGGCGCCATGGAATGGCACGCCGAAATAATAAATGGTCTGATTCTACGCTGGATCGCCAACCCTATGCATTGATTTTGCAGGATGATAGGTATTCTTTTTAAGCTATGGTGACAAAATTATTTGAATTTGGTTTTTACGAGATTTATTCAAGAGATTACTTCTATCTTCTAGTCGACGGATGATCTTGAATACAAAGCTTGTCCAAAACAGATTTAGAATTTAGGAAATTCATCCTTCACAGGATCCAGCGGTAGTTTTTTTAATTTGAAGTTAAGAAAAATATTCAATTTAGACGTATTTCCGAAATTAACGCGCTTCTTTCCTCGAGAATAATTCAAATGGAGTGAGAGACTAAACGAATTAGCTCAAACGGACTATTAAAAATCGAATTTAATAAATTGAACGATTTAAGGAATAAGTGCAGTAATAGTTGAGTACGAGATCTTGAAAATTTTCAATGGATTTTTAATAACATTGTAATTTTTTGTATGTGTTTGTATCGCATTGGAACTAATCGAAGTGAGGAGATACGTTGTCGTGTGTTTCATCGTGTTTGTAGTCTGTTTGAAAGTTCGTCGCTTTGTGTATCAACTATTGCTGTAGCTTTTTTGTAAAGTTGAACAATCGAGTAAATTTATTGTAAAATTTTTCCGGAAGATTTATTACTTTAACTTGTAACTGCTAATCGCCCTGTCGTTCGAAGTAAGTTTTATTTTTTGAAGTGCCATTACCTGAAGTGCCTTTACTTGAAGTTTATACTTGAAGTGCCATTACTTGAAGTGCCATTACTTGAAGTGCCATTACTTGAAGTGCCATTACTTGAAGTGCTATTACTTGGAAGTGCCATTACTTGAAGTGCTATCATTTTAATATTTCAATTATTTGATGGATTTCGAAAATTTTATGAAAGAACAGAGGAGGAACGGTAAATAAAAAATTCGAACATCTTACCATTGAGGTCAAGTTTTAAATTAACAAATAATAATTGCCAGTGAAAAAAACTTGTGTTCTAGATGAGGTCCTTTGAAATATTTGGAATCTCAATCCATAAATACACGTTCGATATTAGGCCGCTAAACTAAGCCGAGCTAAGCTAGACGAAGTCAACCGATATTTAAAAATGCCAGCCAATACACATGAACAATATTTGGCCTATACCAAAAGGAGTACTGCTACTAAATCTAACCAGTAATCTCCTAAACTCTAGTACCGATACTTGTAGACATTCAATAAATACTCAATACTTTCAAAGCTACAGCTATCAACTATCAACTAGCCATCTATGGATGTGGCCTCATTCATCTCTTCATTCATCTATGGATCCGACCTCATTCATCCCTTCATTCATCTATGGATGTGACCTCATTCATCCCTTCATTCATCTATGGATCCGACCTCATTCATCCCTTCATTCATCTATGGATGTGACCTCATTCATTCCTTTATTCATCTATGGATCCGACATCGATAGCCAAAAGGTCTCGGGCCGCTGTATTAGAACAGGTGATTGCTGGCTACAGGGAGAACTATATCCGGTGAGAATTAGTTTTAGATTGGATTTCCAAGTCGGGGAGTTCGCACACGCACATCGCGACTTCAAGAAAACTCGCGTGTGGAACACTTCTGTCCTGGAGCTCAGGGCTTGCACAGAGTGCCTCTGTACCAGTGGTCTGTCTCCCGCCACAAAACCAAACGTGAGTCTAGACTCTAGAGCGATTATTCGGTATTGCCGTAGGCTGGCTGTATATATCTCTAATCACGTTGAGGCAAGTAGGTAATATTTTTAGGATTAGTTTAGGCTGATTATACATCTCCATATCTAACCATACCTAGAATTAGTTCGAGTCAAGCTGGTCTATTATTTAAGATTAGCTTAGGCTGGCTGTATATATCTCGAATATCGTCGAGGCAAGTAGGTAATATTTTTAGGATTAGTTTAGGCTGATTATACATCTCCATATCTAATCACATCTAGGATTAGGTCGAGTGAAGCCGGTCTATTCTTTAGAATTAGCTTATAGCGTGGCGGCATATATCCATATATCTAGGATTATGCAGATTTAAGACATTCTATTATTTAGGTTTTACTTAAGTTGACTATACATATCCATCATTACTATAAGATAAGATTTGGCCAGGCGTGGCTTGAGAGTTATGTACATGTTCCTTCTATCATGTATGTACATGATAATAGATCAATTTCAATAAATAAATTTATTTATATTAAATTTTGTCCAATGGTGTGGTGGTATAGGAATAACATTGGCCGAGCAAACGCCTTTATAGCAATGTTTTCATGGACTCTATACAGTTAATGCGTGATTTATGAAATAATACAAAATAAAACGTATAGGATATTTGAATTTGTATGTTTCATATTAAATTTGTAAATAACAACTATAATTTTTCGTAAAACGAGAATTAAATTTGATGTCCTGCAAAAAATTACAACTACGGACAGCGTCCTCTGAAAAAAATTGAAATGAACTAATCTAAGAGATTTTCCTTACATCCGCTCTTAATCATTAATTGCATAATGCCAGTTAACAATTTTATCTTCTCGGTCAAGTTTGGTTCAAAATGAATTTTGTCTGAGCTCATTAACTCTGGTCCTGCCTAAAAGGTCCCAACCTTATGTATACGAGAGAAGTATGTGCAGTAAAATTCTTTACAAGGCCATTATAAATAAAACCAAATCTTAATTGTTTGGCTTACAACTTTCCATAGATTAATTCTCAACATTTTCTTTCCCTAATTTTAGACGAAATGAATTGGCCTGCGTGGGCCGCAGCGCTGCTCTCTGTCTTGTCTTCGGAGTTGCTGGCGTCAGACGGCTCTCCTTGGCGCCCAACACGGCTGTCAAAACTAAGGCTCGCGTCAAACAAATCCATAATTGAGACTCTGTACCTACCAAACGTCATTTTGGCTGCCCATTATTGTCAAGAGAGGATTTGGTGCAAGACTTTTTGCTCCGACACCGATGACCCCAGCCTGTGTTATCTGCTCAGCACGTTGACTGCTCCCTACAACGAAGATTCGTACGGCGAACCACTCATGTCGTGCTACACGAGTGAAGAAGTCAACATGCTCACGGCACAGTCAGGGATCACTGTATATGCAGCAACACCGAGGAGCATTGGTGACACCTTTCGTTCAGTTGAGAACCTTATTGATGGCGTTTATGAACGTCCCTCAGCCGATGACTGCTTCAAGTCGATGACAACCGACTACCCGTTCTTTGTTCTGGACCTTGGTTCCGTGATGAAGGTTGAGAGAGTGACACTGATGGCTCAGGCAAATGAGTACGCTTATTTGTATTTTAAATCGATCGAAGTCCGTTTGGGATTGGTCCCAGAATCAGGAAACTTCTCGACATACTCGCTGCTTGGATCTTACAAAGGGACTCCGACAGCTGATTTCATCTACTCCACTCCTACTGCTCGCAACTTTGGCCGCTACATCTCCGTCCAGTTCATGGAGAAAAAATTCAAGCTACAAGTATGTCATGTTCAAATATTTTGAAGTAATTAGAATTTACCAATTAGTTGGTGTACCAGCTGCTACCGACATGAATATCTTCATTTAGAAATCAAGGGAAAATGAGAACTGGGTGGAGGTAATTGATGATTCAAGCGAGTGCTTTTCTAATCAGTAATTCAACTCACATTTTAATCATTAAATTTTATTTTAAAATAAAATTGTTCTAATAGTAATGTAAAAATATTACGTTTACATATTGAAAACTTCTGCATATCACGAACCCTTGATACAACCTCCGCTGAGTTCTAGGCTTCAATTAGCTGCATTGTGTACAATTATAATACAAAAATGATTCCATTTAAAATGCGAGTTTATGTCGCCTTAGTTTCGAAACATTTTATTCAATTGAAGTGATCTAAGGGACCATGTTTTTGCTACCAGTAAAAAAGGCATTCTTGTTTACACTTCTGTGTCTCTGGGAGAAATGAATGAGACTTTGTAAAAAAAGCGATGCACTCTTTACATTTGTGTTGATCATCCTGACTTATTTAACCCGGCAAAGAGGCTTATAAGTACTACGAATACTCTCAGCTTGTGATGTGGGTAAGATAGTAGGTAATGGACATTACAACACATTCATTTCTGTGAGTACAATATTCGATTTATCAGCCCGATGAGGAGCGAAATTTCCCAAGGCCCCATTAAATTGCGGCAATAAATTCTTCCGCACATGTTTAACAAGTAATTAAGGCACTCTTAATTATTTTGAATAAATTTCATCAGTAAATTTTAATCATAGACTAAATACCTTTTCTGGACTTTTGTGTTACCTGCTTCACAAGCCCAATCTGCGTATCGTAATTTGTAAGATTGAAACTATGAACAGCAACATGCACAAAAAATGAATTGGTGCACCTGCTCCGTGAGCCGATTGATTTTAATGCATCATAAAAAGGCCATATACTTGGTACTAGTTTGAAGAAATTGTGACGCAATCCGTCTATTTTTGAAGACGAGAATATCGGACGTAAAAATCCGATATTGTTCAAAGTG